GTGGATGATGGGCAGCATGCACTTGCCAACTATAGCGCCCAGTAGTTCGATCGCCAAAAGAGCAGATCCCAACGCCAAGCTCGGCCGTCGGTGCGAACGCACCTGCGCTGACGCATTGTGGCAGCATCTCGAATCCGTGCCCGTTGAATCCGAACAGCAAGCCAACGGCACTGCGAAACATGGTCAACGTTCCCCCCTGCACCACCCCGATCCATCCGATATATCTACCAATGGTCACACTCACGATTGCGGTCGCGTTCGTGATATCAAAACGGCTTGGTGGTGCATTCGGTGCAATGCAAAATCCAAATCCAGTTCAGTATACTCATGCTTGATCAACCTGCGCGAAAACAGTATAATATGTGAACGATGTACAATATCTGCCATGACCTTACTATGACGATTACTAAACCTGCTGCTGCTGACGCTGCTACTAATTTTTCTTCTGCCGCTACTACTGCTGTGACGGCTGAAAGTACTGTTCTTATGCACATAGGTTTGCCTATAAGGGTCTTAGCTCAATGCATGGAGAGCTGGTCCACTGGACCCCCCACCCACAGTTCGACCTTGCACGACCTTGGCTGCCAACGTGGCTTCCACTGGCTGTTTGCATGGGCTCCCTTGTCAAGCTGTCTGCATGCTTTCATCGCCAACTTGTCCGCGCAGCTCCCAGTGCATTCCATCCAAATAAATTCCTTTTCCCTACCATCACATCCCGACTAACACCATTGCAGCCCATTGCATACCCATCCAATTCCAATTCGTTCCATGCCACTCTACCCACCTCCATTCAAAAACAATCCATTCTACGGAGAGTCGAGTTGATTCGAACAGATAGCAAAACGTCGGGTAGGAGCAATCAGAGCGGAGTAGACTAGAGTAGGGTCGAGTTGAGGAGTTGGGTAGAGTAGCGTTGGAAAAGAGTCTGGTCGAGCAGGTCGAGTGGGAGTAGAGTGGGAGTAGAGTAGGACAAGTACAGTTGAGTAGAATAGGAGTGGATTAGGAATATATTGGGCAAGAAAATGTGAAGTACCATACCGCAGAATAGACTAGAATATAATAAAACAGAGCAAGGTCGATTGAAGCAGGGGTAGAGTAGCCAGAACATGTAGGTGGAGTAAAGGTATAGATGTAGTGTTCATCGGAGTACATGAGGTGAGTGGGTAGAGTAGGAGTAGGTCGGTATGCGGAGTAGAGTAACTAAGAGTAGGTATAGTAGACCATGCCGAGAAAGTCTGCAACTTGGGTAGAATAGAAAAGGGGTCGAGCAGGGTCGACTAGAGTAGAATAGAGCAGAGTAGGAACATAGTTTAATAGAGTAGCGTAGTTAGAGCCGGAAGCTAAAGTAAGTAGAGCAGATAGGGTAGAGCAAAGCAACATAGGAGTAGAGTGCGTCGAGTCGTTTCGAATTCATGGGCCAAGGCTAATTGCCACATAATTTGTTTCGCATATGGCGTGATTGTCTGGAAACCTATGTCTCAAAACATACATCTGCAAATGACACGTGTGTTTCCCAACCTGTGTTGTTGGGTTCTCGTGTCGCAGAGGCAGCGCCCCGCCGGATATCTCGAGCCCTCGCCCACGAGAAACTCTCTCTCAGGAGGCCCCAGGAGGCCTCGAATATGCCTCCAAGAAGCCCCCAGGAAGCGCCTGGAGGCCCCTGGGAGGCTCCCAAGAGACCCCCCTAGAGTCTCCCAAAACAGCCCCAATCTGCCCCCAGAGGCCTCCGAAAGCGCTCCGAATAGACCCCGGCTAGGATCCTTCTCGACCTCCCTCTGCCCCAACTCCCCCTCCTCGTCCTCCTCCGCATGCTCTTCCTCCTTCTCCCCCTCCTGCTCCACGACGTCCTCGTCCTCCTGCTGCTCCCCCTGTTTTTCCTCCTCCTCCTCCTCCTCCTCGTCCTCCTCATCGTCCTCACCCTCCTCCTTATCCCCCTCCTTCGCATCCTCGTACTCATCATCCTCATCCTCCTGATCATCCCCCTCATCATGCTCCTCCTCCCCTCCCCCGCGTGTTCGTCCCCTGGTGCTCCGCAACCTTACCTCGACCTCGTCCTTCCAATCCTCCTCTCCTCCGCGTCCTCCTTCTTCTCCTGCTCCTCCGACTCTCATTCTCCTCGTCCTCCTACTGCTCCTTCCAACCCCCCGTCCTCCCCCTGCCACTGCTCCCCCTCCTCATCCTCCTCCGCAAGCTCCTCGCTTCTCTCCTGCTGCTCCACCGCGTCGTCCGCCTCCTCCTTCTGCCCCACCTCATTCTCCTCGTCGTCGTCCTCCTCGTCGTCGTCATCAACAAGGTCGGCGGCACCCGCTGTAAGGCTTTCACAATGAATTATTAAAGATTCGCGTCCCCGAGACAACGATTCTCTTTGAAATGATCCGACATTCGGGTGCCCGTGACCACAGTCCTGGTAAATTACGCCGGCCCCCGAGGCCACGACTCCTTGTAAATTACACAATATGCACGCCCTCGAGGCCACGATCCTTCGTAAATTGCACAATTATCGCGTCCCCGGGGCCACGATCCCCAGTACATTGCGCCATAGTCGCGCTCCCCATCCACGAGCCCTGTTGAATTACAGCCGGCCCGTATTGTAAGGATGCGCGATAAGGATGCAAGGATGCAAGGGCCTTAGACGCCCATGTCGAAGCTTCTCGAGCGGGGCGCGGCCAACGAAAAGGGCCAACGATGGACCGAGGAGGCAAGGATGCAAGTGTACCCTTGGGAAAATTGCCCATCCTTACCCAAAGGAAGCTTCACAAGGCCGGTGATCTGGTGATCCGGTGGTCCAGTGATCCGGTGATTTGGCGTTCCTGTGATCCGGTGATTCTGTAATCCGATGATCTAGTGATCCGGTGATCCAACTTTCCGGTCCGGTGATCCGGTGACCCGGTGATCCAACTTTCCGGTGTTGGCCTTGTCAAGCCTGACCTCTCCTTACCATGCGGGTTGACTGTACTCTATGTTCGCGTCCCCGAGGCCACGATCGCGCGTCCTGTATCACGATCTCACATGACTTGCACCATCTTCGTCCCCGAGTCAACGACCCCTTGTAAACTACGCCGTGCTCGCGTCCACAAGGTGGCGATCCACCGAAAAATATGAAATACTCGCGTGCCCAAGGCCACGATCTGTGGTAAATTACGACGTATTCGCGCCCCCGACGCAACGATCCTTTGTAAATTACGCCACGTTCGTGTTGCCGAAGCCACGACCCCTTGCAAATGTTGTGTATCCGGCCCCCTGTGCCCACGATCCCTAGTGCATTGCGCAATCATCGCGTCCCCGAAGCAGTGATCCCTCGAGAATTAAACTAATTCTTGCGTTCCCGAGGCCATCATCCCTCGTAAAATGAGCAACGTTCGCGCCCCCGTGGCCACGACCCTTTGTGAATTATACAAGACTTGCGCCCCTGAGGCCAAAATCTCTCATGCATGATGCAATACTCGCGTTCCCAGGGTAACGATTCTCTTGTAAATCACTGTCTTCGCGTGCCCGTGGCCACGGCCCTTCGCGAATCACACCGCATGCGCGTCCCCGAGGCCACGATCCCTAGTCATATTCGCGCCCCCGAGGCCATGCTCCTCAGCAACTGGCGCTGTCCTCGCGTCCGCGAAGTCAAGTCTCGGCCCCTCGTGCGAATGACGCCACAATTCGCGCCCCTCCGAAGCCATGGCCTCTCTCGTAGAGTACGCCACGCGCCCGCGCCCCACGCAACCGCGATCCCTGTTGTGAACTGCGCACTGTCCGTGGCGAGACCACGAGATCCAGTGAATTGCCTCGTGCTCGCGCCCCCGAGGCAACGATTCCTTGCACATTGCGCCAGATTCGCGCCCCTGAAACCACGATCCTTTCTACATTGTGCAGTGTCCGTGGCGAGACCACGACAGCAGGTGAATTACGTCGTGCTCGCGCCCCCGAAGCAACGATCCCTGCTACATTGCGCCATACTCGCGCCCCCGAAGTCACGGCCCCGTGTAAAACAAAAGCGCCTAGGAACCCGAATCCTCCAAGCCGCGCGATTCTGCCCCACGTGGCCTCAAGCAGCCCGCACTCGCTCCATGAGGGCCTCCGATACACAGCATGAGGGGAAGCTCGGAAAAGGAAACACGAAGCTCAACAATATCATCTGAATCTCACTTCGTCTTGAAGACTACCAATCGTCCCCGCACGAGGTTTCGATGCTGCTGCACGACGGCGCCTGGGCATCCCCACATAGCTCCTGGTAGTGAAGGGGGGCCGGTGGCAACGGGCGAAACCCGATCGGATATGAAAAATCAGGAGTCGGCCAACATGGTCACGGGTGGCATCGTCGTGGATGCGAAGATGACGGCGACGGCGGTGACGGCGATGGCGACGAGGCAACCCTCGCGGCCGCAATTCCCGTCATCTACATTGCACCCCGTCGCGCAGATCGGCCCCATGTTGGGTATCCCTGCTTCGTCTGGATGGCACGATGAAATTGGAAACGCCTGTAATTCGCTTGCTCCGTTGGCTTGCGAGCCAGCCGACCGGACTCGTGAGTCAATCCTGAACCCAAACGGCCAAGGGTGAGGACAAGACTGCGGTGTGCCTCTTTGTTTCCTTACTAGATTGGAGGCGGGCGCGAAGTGCAACGAACACCCTGCCTGCGCCTGCACGGACCCTCTCTTGACGACAGGCCCCTGTGCACGCGAGACCTCGACCAGGGCGACATCTCACGGATCGGATCCGAACCTGCATGCCGCGCAATCGCCTGCTCACGACGGTGACCTCTGGGCCTATCCTATGGTGACCTCCCGCCACGGAAAAGCTTTGGATCGGAGCTCGAACTGCTGAAGCCGTACATCACGAAAAGCGATAGCTGAACGGCGCCCAGTACCATTCCGATCACGTTAGAAACGTAGATTTGAGGGTCGTCCCGCATCACAAAGCCATAGAACGACCACAACGAACAGTTGAGCGCGACCGCACACGTGAAGCCGAAGGGCAAACTCTCCGTGGATTTCTGCTCCACGACGCTCCGTATCACCGCAAGGGGGCCGGCGAAGAGCATGACGTTCATCGCGTTGCCCAACAAACCCAGGAGGATGCTGCCTTAAAGGGGCCCAAGGACAAACACATGGATAGGCGCACATCCCAGGATCCCCCATATTTCTCAACCTTTTTGGGAGTGTCGTCTTCCCCCCCCCCCCGCTTGCCATATCTTATTTTCCTATGTTTTCCTGGGGATCGACGATTCTTCGTGTCTGCGTGTCTGTGTTTTCTTCCCCTCCCGATGCCCGAAGACTCCGGCAGCAGCAGCAAGCACGCGGCGCAGACGGCCCAGGAGCACGCCGCGCCCGCCGCGTGGACCCTCCTCGAGCAGGGCAGCGACGCCGCGCCGGCGGGGCAGAAGCGGCAGAAGACGTGGCAATAGCTTGGCGGCGACCGAGGGTGGGAAGCAGGAGTAGAAGCAGAAAAACGCCATAGACATTACACTTTTGGCGCTCCGCGCAGATTTCTTGGATCTGCGCTGGACCCCCCTCCCTGGCGCGCGGAGCGCGCCAGGGGCAGCGCCGGAGGCGCCGCTGGGGGGCCCAGCGCGGATCGAAGAACTCCGCGCGGGGCGCCGAATGTTTATGTTTCTGGCATCTCTTCTTTTTCCGATAGGAAGAGAAGGCCTTGTCAGAAGGCGGCGGGACTTCTCGGAGGGTCTCACGCCTTCTGAGGAGTTCTCTGCGTCGCCGGGGGGGGCCTCGAGAACTTTCCAGAAGGTCGGGGGGCGTCCGAGCCTTCTGAGGAGGCCCGCCCCTTCTCACTTCCCCCCCGGCCTCGCCGCCGAATAGTGCAGCCCGAAGAGCAGCTGACAGCAGTTTGGGACCCAGATGGCCGGGCTGCCCCGAAGCCATCCGTAGGACGCCCAGATCGAGCCGCTCATGACCATCGCGGAGAACGGCAGCAGGGGCAGGCTGCCAACGCTCGCCTCTCGCTTGATCTTGGGCATCGTTTCGATCAGAGGGTTCACGAACAGCACGAGAGAAGCAACGCCAGGAACCCCCATTCTGACCCGACCGAAACCCACAGCATCCTCCATCCACCATTCGGACCTGGGGAAGCCAAAAGGTAACGATACCTCTACTCCACGGACCTCGCGTCCTGACCGGAATTTCGAAGCGAGTCGAGCGGTGGCGACGAGGGCCTCCCGGGAGGCCCCAAACGAGGAAAACGAGGGAAAGGTAGCGGTATGAGCAAGAAACCCCATAATCGAATCGATGGATCGGACCGGCAATCGAGATAAATCGGATCATCAGAAATCGACAGCCGAGTCGGAAGAAGTCGAATCGGCGGAAATCGGCAAGCTATCAGGCCTCCATCGGGGAAACGAAATCCAAGTCGGAATCCGAAGTCGCTTCGAATCGGAATCGGAAGCCGTCGAAATCGAATCGAATCGAATGGGAGGAGTCGGAACGAGCCCTGGTATGGGGATCTCTTCCTCCCTCCCTCCTCGGAGAACCCTCCCTCCTCGGAGAACCTGCTCTGCCCCCGCCCCTGAAGCTCGGGAGGCTCCGCACCGCTGCGCCACGCCTCGGGCGACGAGATCTATGCATATCCACTGCTCCTGGCCAGGCCAATCCTGGGCCCAGGAGCGGTGTATACGTCCTCCTGGCCTGGCCAGGGAGGCACATACACAGCTCCTGGGCCCAGGATGGGCCTGGCCAGGAGCAGTGGATATGCATAGATCTCGTCGCCCTAACGCCTCCGGCTCCAACGGCCCCAGCGCCAGCCACAGCAGGGCCACGGCCGGCACGGCCGCCAGCAGAGCAGCCCACCTCGGCGGCCACCCTCGGGTCGGGCGAAAGGGGGGGATAGCAAAGGGGGGGTTTGAGAATCAGCTCACGTAGCTGATTTTCCCAGCGCCTCCCGGCGCCGGAGGCGGCTATGTATCGAGGAATGGGCCCCTCGGTGAGGCCGAAACAAGCTGCATGCAGCAAATTTCGTAACCCCCCCTTTCCCAATCCCCTCCTTTCGCCCGACCCGACACCCCTGCTCGGCGGCGCGCGGAGGGGTTCAGGGCGAGGGGCGAGGGGGGCGACCCTCCACGAGCCCACGGGGGGCGACCTTCCCAAAAAGCACGAGGTCCAGAAAGACAAGTGTTTTCGGGTCGGGAGGAGGGGGCTGGGAGGCTACGGGGAGCACGACTGTGTAGTAAGCACGCTCGACATACGCCACGGTACAGATGATCGGACCGTCTCACCCAACCTCATCCTCCTTCGGTGGCAACTCATGGCAGCTTCCCACACCATCTTGTCGGCTCTTGCGAATCGACGCTCGTCGACGCTAGATCGACGCTAATCGACGCTACTGAAATCTATGCTAATCGACGCTCGCCGACGTTGATCCAGCGCTATCTCATCGACTCCCAGACGCTGATCGACGCTAAAGGCAGAATGAAAAGGGTACACCAGGCTCCCATGATTTGTTACCGAATCCTCCCAACCCGACCATCGTCTCCCTGAAAGGGGGGGGGCTCCTTGAAACAGACCAGCCCCTTAAGGGCCCTTCCTGGGAGGGCGTCGTGGAGAGCAGTCGGGCGCCTGGCGTCTGAACGCCCGGCTGCGACGGCCGCCCCTGCCCTCGCCCTGCCACGCTCCGTGCGCCGCCGACCTTCTCGACGGGCCCCGGCCTCGGAAGCGCCGCTGGCCCGGCGCGCCCCAGCGCCTGCAGGGTGCTGAGCAGGCTCATGGTCTGCGGCCGCCCCCCGAGACCCCCCCCCCCTCCTCCTCCTCCCTCCTCCTCCTCCTCCTCCTCCTCCTCCTCCTCCTCCTCCTCCTCCTCCTCCTCCTCCTCCTCCTCCTCCTCCTCCTCCTCCTCCCCTTCGGGCCCTTCCTCGCGCCAAAACGGCTACGGACGAAGATGAGGATGAGGATGATGATGATGATGATGATGATGATGATGATGATGATGATGAGGAGGAGGAGGAGGAGGAGGAGGAGGAGGACATCGAGGATGGCGACGAGGGTGAACCTTGTGAGCGCGGATGAAAGTGATGCTTGGGTGTGATTGTGGCTGGAACGGGAATGGCACGACGAGGATGACAGTGGTTATGAGTTATGAGGATGATGATGCTGGTGGGGTGAGGGTAATGATGAGGGTAGGGGGATGCTTGACCAACAATGAAATTATGTGGCATCGCACAATAGGCTCTGAGCATGCAGGCACCTAGCGCCCTTGGGACGAACGCTTACATATCACTGATTGCGTGACAAGACGACGCTTTGTATCCACCGCGCTGGGTAACAGCTGGCGTGGTCGGCCCTTTTGGCATGCTTCATTCGTACAGTCTCGTACGAACCAGCAGTTAAACGCTCCCCTGGTTAAGCACCGAGACCCAACAATCCCTGGAAGGACGTTTTGTGGACCCTCAACCCCGGCCCCCACACCCCACTCTTCCCCAATACCCGGCGCCGCCCTGCGCCACCCACTCGCAGCGCGGTGGCCAATACGCGCTGCAGCGCCGCTGTTGGAAGCGGAAATGAAGTGCGCCTCAGATGTTGGACCCTTTTTTGCGATGCTCCAGCCGAGACGCAGCGAATACAGAATGACTCCCTCAACGACGACTTGACAAATATGGGAGACTTGGGGGTGTGAGCGGTGCGGGCCCGGGAAATTGGCTCCAGTTTCGATTTGTGTTGTGCTGTGTTTGTGGGGGAGCCGAAGGTGCTCGGATGTCACACAATTGTCCTCTGGTTGTCCCGCCGTTGTCCCGTGGCTGTGCTGAGGCTGTCCCGTAGTTGTCGCGTGGATGTTCCACAAACAGATAGACCGGTGGTTGGGGGGTGAGATCGAAGTGGAACGGAGAGCCCCCCACCGGGAAATCGGTTTCGGTTTCGTGTTCTCGCGTGTCGTGCGTGCGGGCGAGGCGAAGCTGCGTGGGCGGGCGAGAGGAAAGTCTCCTGTGGCTGAGGCGCGGCCGGACCAAATGATTCTCCCTCCGGCGAGCGGCGGCCCGCGGTGTCCCGCCGGTGTCCCGCTTGTGGTTGGGTCCCGGCCAGACCAAATGATTCTCCCTCCGGCAAGCGGTGGCCCGCGGTGTCCCGCCGGTGTCCCGCGGGTGTCCCGGTGTCCCGCTGGTGCGAAAACGATAGTGAGACCGATGACGAAATCGATTGTGAGATCGATAGTGAGATCGATAGTGAGACCGATAGTGAGATCGATCGTGAGAAGAAGAGTGAGATCGATGAGATGAATAGTGGTATCGATTGTGAGATCGAGTGACATCGATAAGGAGATCGATAGTGGGATCGATAGCGAGATCCAGAGTGAGATCGACAGTGGAATCGATCGAGTGAGATCGATAGTGAGATCGATCGAGTGAGATCGATAGTGGGATCGATGGTCCGAAGAGCGAGCGGCAACGCAACAATCACCACTGTTGCCCATTGCTGGCCCCCCTCCCCCCCAACCTCCTTATCACCCGCAGGGTGGTCGTATAGGTACGTCTTTGAAGTATGAATCGCTAATTTGATCTGAGATGGTTTTACTGCATCATTGGTCACAGTTCGCTACTTTGAATTCTCGATCGCCACATGAGAAATCGACGGGGTAGCATCGACATGCATCGGAGGCCCTCAAATGCGAGATCCGTGTCGGTTTCGGTTCGCGTCGCGTGTGCTGGCGAGGCGAAGCTGCGAGAGGGCGAGATCCTGCCCTGGCTAGGTCCAAATCGAACCAACATTAATCGACTATGCCCAAGCGTGTGCAGGGTGGTCCAATGATTGTCCCGTGGTGTGCCCGCGGTTGTCCTGTCGGTTCGGACCCGGCGGGCGGACCTTAACGGGCGGGTCGTTTCGGGCGGGCGGGACATTGCAATAGGGTGCAAATTCGAATTGGCACGAAATGGCCCTAACAAGCGGGTCGGGTCGGGCGGGCGAGCCCTAACGGGCGGGTCGGGCTGGGTGGGCGGGACATTGACGTGCGGCTCACAGAAGAACTGGCACGCAAGAGGCCTAACATGCAGGTCGGATCGGGTGGGCGGACCCTAGCGGGCGGGTCAGGTCGGGCGGACGGGACTTTAAAGTATAATGCACCATCGAATTGGCACGTCAAAGCTCTAACGGTCGGGTCGGGTCGGGCGGGTGGACGGGCGGGTGGGCGGGGCGGGTCGGGCGGGCGGGACATTCAAGTGTGGCTCACAAAAGAACTTGCACGCAAAAACCTCAAGAGCGGGTCGGGTCGGGCGGGCCAGCCCTGACGGGCTGGTCGGGCCGGTCGGGCGGGACATTAACGTGTGGCTCACTCGAGAATTTGAACATGAGAGCCCCAACAAGCGGGTTGGGCGAGCCAGGTGGACCCTAACAAGCGGGTCGGGTCGGGCAGGCGGGACACTAAAATATGATGCGCAATCCAGTCGGCACGTGCGAGCCCTAACTGGCGGGTCGGGTCGAGTGGGCAATCCCTATCGGGCGAGTCGGATCGGGCGGGCGGGACATAACAATATGTTGCACCGCGGACCGTAAGGGCCGGGCGGGCGGGACATACAATATGGCGGGTCGGGTCGGGTCGGGTCGGGCGGGCAGAACATACAATATAGCCCTAACGGGCGGGCCGGGTCGCACCGCGGACCGTAACGTAAGGACCTGACGGGCGGGACAAAATAGTCGTCGTCGTCGTCGTCGTCGTCGTCGTCGTCGTCGTCGTCGTCGTCGTCGTCGTCGTCGTGGTGTTGAGGCGCCAATGCTCGCCGTCGTCGTTTGCCAGCAGCGCTTTATGGGGGGGCAGCAGCGATCGGCGTGGCGTCAGGAATAGGTGGTCCTGTTTCCCTTTCGCGATTTTGAGCTATTCTGGGGCCGTTTTAGGGTGGTGAGCGCTTTCTTATTCGGCGTTTCCGCATTGGGCGGGAGGGGGGGAAGGGAGGGGGGTCTGGCTCTGGATCTCTGCTTATTGCAACGGTTTGCAACCATGCTTCCTCTGGGGGAGACTCCCCCTGCTCGAAACAGGCGCCCAAAACAGCCACGAACTACTCCATTGGGCGGGGGGAGGGGGGGTGCGAGGGACTGCACCGATCGGCAAAATAATGAATTAGAAAACGATCATGTTCTCGCGTAGCAGCCTTGGCCTGTTCTGGACCCTTCCGGGGTATTTATCTGGGGCCTCTCTTTGGCGATCCTGGACCTCTGAGTGCTTTCCCGTCCCGAGCAGCTGCTCCCCGGAGCGTCCCAGGGGCTCAGCATAGCACAGGCGCCTCAGTGCTTTCCACGGTCCCTGTGCCACATTCGCGTGCGGTGTGCCCCAAGCCATGCCTTGACCGCGTCCTGGCCCCAGGTCGCCGCCGCCGACACAAACGTGTTCCACGGTCCTCGTGAACTTGTGCTCCCGGGCCTCGATGGTGACACTTCGGCGAGGCCTCGAGCAGGGCTCCAAATTGGCCACTCTTGTGGGCCGTGTGGGCTGGTCCCTCTGCGCTTCGACGGGCACCATCCCTCCTGGCTTTAAAAGTTACCGTCCAATGCACTTCTCGACGCAAGCAGCTGCCCACAATGACACGGACGGGCCAGCAACATGCGCGAAGCAACTGCACTCGGCGGGCCCATTGCGGGAGCGTAGCAGGAGCAGGGCGGCCTCAGCTGTGCCACGCACAGCGCGTTGAACGATGCACGCGTGACGTTATGGGTAGTGGGATTGCTGCTCCGCACGTTCAGACGGCTGAGCTCCTCTCGGAGATCCTCCGAGAGTGCGAAGCTATCCGAGGCTTGCTGGATCGCGAAGGGGAACCGTAGAGAGAGAGAGAGAGACCTGTGCTTACACGCACACACAAGCTTAAATCTGTCTAGCGCTTTTCTCATTGGGATGTCTAGAAAGAGAATGAAAGTGTGAGATTGAGTGAGACTGAATTGTCCTGAGGGGAATTGGTTACACGTAGACAGAAGGGTAGACAGAACAAGAGAGAATGAGAGAACGACACGTACACATATACGTACACAGATGTCGGGTAAGAACGAAAGCTTCTCACCACCTGTTCGCGCAGGGTAGCGCGTGCGAACAGAACAACGTGCCCGATCAACGCGCTTGATTAGCACGCCCGCCCCCCTGGTCAATACTCTGCTGCAGCCGCGCGCGCAATATTATAATCCGACCACTTGAGCACCTCTCTCTGATTTGGTACCTAAGTTTTCAGAGGCATGCGCAGTAATACAAAACAGCACACACACACATACACGAATTAACATACACACATACCAAACACAGATCATACTGCTGCACTATTAATGCACACCTGATGCCGAACCACTTTTTATCACATCAAGAACTACGCACGAGCATCCAAGCCCGCAAACATACGCAATATCATGCAACATAGAACACACTAGGATCCATGCTCGCAGGTTCACGCACCCTCGTGTAAAACGATTGATATGGCTCCCATGCCCCAAGGCAGATTGAAGTTGGCTCCCAGAGACTCGCAGACGGACCTTTCATTCCCAAAGCGGGCCCCAGGCATCCGAATATCCCCTACGATCAAAACTGATATTAAGGATGCACGGTAAGGATGCAAGGGCCTTGGAAGGCCATGCCAATACTTTTCGAGCGGGGCGCGGCCAAGGAAAAAAGCCAAACATGGGCCGAAAAAGAAGAATGCAAGGGAAACCGTGAAAAGTCGCTCCTCCTCGCTACCAGTGTTGACTGTAAGGGACACCAAGATGGTCCTAAGTGGGCCGAAGAAGGGACCAGAGTTGGCTCTGAGAGAACCTCAAAATTCCTTCAAGACTGTCCTCGGATGGGCCAGGCCCAAGAGGTCCACTATGGGCCCAGAAGCCCCAACCTTACATCCAAGATGGCCCCCAAATGGCCCAAGACCTCTCCAAGACGGCCCGAAGACATCTCCAAGACCCAGGAGGAAGCCCCCAAAAAACCCGAACAATCCCAAGAGGGTCTCGAACTCAATCAAAGAACTAACACTGCTTCGTAGTCCTGCATGATCATTTCCTCGTTGGGGGCCCGCCGTGCCTTCCGCTCTGCGGGCCCAATGCGGCGGCCAGGGCTGTGCTTCAACCTTGCGAGTTCGCAGACTTTTGAAAGGAAGACTTGAGGTTGCATGCGCAATGCATGCTGGGGCTGGCCCCGCGTTTTTCTCGCCGCAGCCCAGCGAGGGTACCTGTGCGGGCATTATGCTGGGAGCCTCGATTCTGACCCTGCCAGGCGGCCCGCCGACCTCCCCAGGACTCGGGAGAAGCCCAGGAACGCCCATCCAAGCCCCCAAAGCTGCCCGAACAGCTTCTCGAGGCCATTCCACGAATCATCACCGATTCGTGCTTCTGCGTGCCAATTTTCCCCGTGGGGGGCCCACCGTGTGCCCCGCTCTGCAGACCCAGCAATCTACCATCGAAGCTCTCCGAAGATCCTCTCGCATCCTGTACGTAACGCTGTGCCCACTTGACTTTCGCGCAGCGCGCGTGGCACCAACACCACCACACCGCTGTGAGCCCCGTCCCGCTCCCTCTGCTAGCCTTAGGTCGGGCCTGTCCTCTTATAGGTGGATTTGGGAAGACAAATGAAAATAGTCAAGAGCACATTCAAAAATAGTCAAAAGAGCACGAAAAAGCGTCACCAGACTATTTGAAAGCTATTCTTGAATATTCCTCCTGAAGAGGGACGTACCCGACTTAATGCTAGCCCCGCCTCTCCTACCCCAGCAGCAGCAGCAGCAGCAGCATTAGCATTAGCATTAGCATTAGCATTAGCAGCAGCAGCAGCAGCAGCAGCAGCAGCAGCAGCAGCAGCCCGCGCGACCCCTCCGCCCCGATCGCTTGAGTACTGCACGGCACGCAAGGCCCCGCGGCCCCGCCCAACCGCAGCAAGTTCCGTCCCCCCCTCCCCAGGCCAGCCCCGCGTCTCCTCTGCCCTCCTGCTCTCATCGAGGAACGAATAACGACATAAACAGAACATGAACTTTCAGAGGGCCGCGCTGATCTTCTGGATCGGCGCTGGACCCACCTCCCTGGCACGCGGAGCGCGCCAGGTGCGGCGCCGAAAACGCTGCCAGGGGGCTCCAGCGCCGATCTGAGAAATCCGCGCGGACCTCGGAAAACCTGTATTTATGTCATTGCTTGTTCCCCGATCTCCCCCCCCCCGCAGGGAGCCAGCGCGGCCCCTTTTGGGCCCCTATGGGCCCCTTGAGGGCCCCTTAGGGCACAAGAGATTCATATCTCTCCACCCTCCCCGTGTGGCCGATTCTGAAACCCCGGAACCCCCCAAAGAGTTCATCTCTTGGGGGGCGCATATTCTACTTCCGCCCGCTTCCGCCGGCCTTCCGCCGCGGAAGAGATGCCAACTCCTTCCATCCTCGAGGGCAAGGCCCTCTTTGGAACCCTACACTTGCAATCCCCCCCCAATGACGCAACGCTCTCCCCCCGACAGGAGATGGCGCGGCCCGCTCCGCCCCGACGGCTCCACCGCCACGCCACGCACACGGCCACAGCGGCCCCTGGCACTCCCTGCCCTGCGCCTCCCTGGCACCCGCAGGCGCGCCCACCGTCGCCCCCGAGGCGGCGGCGGCGGCCGCGGCGGCGCGCCGCGAAGAAGGCGATGCCGGCGCAGCCAACCGCCACCTGCGCCCGTGGACTCCGCGGGCGACACTGCCGACTCCGACGCTGGCCACGACGACAACCGCGATCGACCGACCGAGACGGCGACGGCGAAAGCGGAGACGGCGACGACGACGACAACGAACGACAATGACGGACACGGTGACGACGATGGCGACGACGACGGCGACGACCACCACGACGACCACCACGACGACCACCACGACGACGACCACGACCACGACCACGACCATGACCACGGCCACGAACGCGACCACGACCACGACGATGACGACGATCACGACGACGACGACGACCACGACAAGGACCACGACGATCACGACCAGGACCACGACGACGACCACGACGACCACCACGACGACGACCACGACGACGACCATGACGACCACGACCACGGCAACCATCAACACGACAATGATTGGGGCAAGCATGTGGGGCAAAGAGCATGGAGGGGGCCGAGGAGGGGAATCATAAAGTGGCCATCCAGGAACTGGAGGAAGAGGAATTAGTTTTTCCAACATTCTTTTTCCCCTTCGGGGAGAAGGTTACCTCTCCCCCTCCCCCTTCTTCCTCGCTGCTGGAATCTCCAACCTTCCCTCCCCCCCCGCCCCCCCCTCCTCCACCACCTTTCCACTGCCTCGAGGGCCGCGAACGCTTCCAGACCTTTTCGACCGATGACCCCCAAGATGCCCTTCAAGGCCCCCAAGAGAGCTCCGGGACTGCCCAAGAGGGCCCCAAGAGAGTCCCAAAGGCCTCCTACATGGCATCAAGAGGATCCACGATGGCCCCAAGATGCCGCCAAGCGGCTCCCAGAACGTGACCACATGCTGCTGCACGCCACTGATCGGGGCAACTCGCCTAATGTTTGTTTTTGACTGGGCTGGTGGGGATACGCGAAACGTCCAGAATGTCCTCTGAGTTTCCCGACACCCGCAGAAATCGGTGTGGAGGAGGAGGAGGAGGACGAGGGTTGGAAGGTGGAGGGCGAGAGGGACGAGGAGGCTGCAATACTAAGTACGTCCGAGGTTCATCCATCGAGGTGATCCTGCTGTGCCGCGCTGCTGTAACCATCGCAATAAAGTGCAGCGTAGGAGGTGAACGAGGAGGAGGAGGAGGAGGAGGAGGAGGAGGAGGACCAGTGTAAACCCAAGACTCATCAACGATGTTGGAATACGATCTCCCCGCAAGCTCCCTCATCACATGCTCCTACAAGGACTCATTTCCACTGAGAGAAGTGCGCCTTTGGGGGACAACCGTTTGAAGACCCTGAAGCATGCCAAAGCAACATTCTCGGAATGCCAACGCCACTAATCAACCTGACTGTTGCGTGTTGACGACCCTGAATCGTGCCAGAACGCCAACCCTGGGACTTCGACACCGCGAATCAACGTATTTGCCGCGCCCTGGCAATCGAGAAACGCTCCAAATCACCATTTCTGGTGCGCTACCCATGGGAATGTGTGAAACACTTGCAAGCTGTTTGATGAATATGCGCGGCGCTAAAGCGAGAATCACATTTTTTGAAGAAAAACCGCCTTCAATCCGTGAAACACTTGCAACTGTTTAAAACGAATGTGCGCGGCGATAATACGAGAGCCACGTTTTGAAAACGATCCGCCCTTAACCCGTGAAACTCTTTCAAGCATTCAACACGAGTGTGCGCAACGCTGAGGCGAGAACCACGTTTTGACAACGACCCGCCCCCAATCCGTGAAACTCGTGCAGACGTCCACAAAGAATATGCGAGGCGCTTGGGCTCGTCGTGATACCGCCCCGCTAATGCTTAAACCCTAAACCCTAAACTGCAGGCGCGGACCTGGGGGCGCGCACCGCCACGCCTGTAAGGATCTGCTAGTGAGAGCGAGCTGCAAGTCGAGCTCACCGCGACCATAGGCCTGCCGGCCCGAGGCGGTGCTTCGCTTGCAAAATGATAACCCCTAACCCTCGGCCGGATGCTCGGAAATACCGCTCGGCTTTTCGCCCAGAGCTCTCCAGAGCATTCCCCCAGAGCTCCCCCCCAGAGCTCCCCCCAGAGCTCCCCCCCAGAGCTCTCCCCCAGAGCTCCCCCAGAGCTCCCCCAGAGCTCTCCCCCAGAGCTCCCCCCAGAGCTCTCCCCCAGAGCTCTCCCAGAGCTCTCCCCCAGAGCTCTCCCCCAGAGCTCTCCCCCAGAGCTCTCCCCCAGAGCTCTCCCCCAGAGCTCTCCCCCAGAGCTCCCCCCAGAGCTCTCCCCCAGAGCTCTCCCCCAGAGCTCTCCCCCAGAGCTCTCCCCCGGAGCTCTCCCCCAGAGCTCTCCCCCAGAGCTCTCCCCAAGAGCTCTCCCCCAGAGCTCTCTCCCAGAGCTCTCCCCCAGAGCTCTCCCCCAGAGCTTTCTCCCAGAGCTCTCCCCCAGAGCTCTCCCCCAGAGCTCTCCCCCAGAGCTCTCCCCCAGAGCTCCCTCCCAGAGCTCTCCCCCAGAGCTCTCCCCCAGAGCTCCCCCAGAGCTCTCCCCCGGAGCTCTCCCCCAGAGCTCTCCCCCAGAGCTCTCCCCAAGAGCTCTCCCCCAGAGCTCTCTCCCAGAGCTCTCCCCCAGAGCTCTCCCCCAGAGCTTTCTCCCAGAGCTCTCCCCCAGAGCTCTCCCCCAGAGCTCTCCCCCAGAGCTCTCCCCCAGAGCTCTCCCCCAGAGCTCTCCCCCAGAGCTCCCTCCCAGAGCTCTCCCCCAGAGCTCTCCCCCAGAGCTCTCCCCCAGAGAGCTCTCCCCCAGAGCTCTCCCCCAGAGCTCTCCCCCAGAGCTCTCCCCCAGAGCTCTCCCCCCTCCCAGAGCTCAGAGCTCTCCCCCAGAGCTCTCCCCCAGAGCTCTCCCCCAGAGCTCCCCCAGAGCTCTCCCAGAGCTCCCCCCCAGAGCTCTCCCCCAGAGCTCCCCCCCAGAGCTCTCCCCCAGAGCTCTCCCCCAGAGCTCTCCCCCAGAGCTCTCCCCCAGAGCTCTCCCCCAGAGCTCTCCCCCAGAGCTCCTCCCAGAGCTCTCCCCCAGAGCTCTCCCCAGAGCTCCCCCCCAGAGCTCTCCCCCAGAGCTCCCCCCAGGGCTTCTCCCCCAGAGCTCTCCCCCCCAGAGCTCTCCCCCAGAGCTCTCCCCCAGAGCTCTCCCCCAGAGCTCCCCCCCAGAAGCTCTCCCCCAGAGCTCTCCCCCAGAGCTCTCCCCAGGAGCTCCCCCCCAGAGCTCTCCCCCAGAGCTCTCCCCCAGAGCTCTCCCCCAGAGCTCTCCCCAGAGCTCCCCCCCAGAGCTCTCCCCCAGAGCTCCCCTCCAGCTCCCCCCAGAGCTCTCCCCCAGAGCTCTCCCCCAGAGAGCTCTCCCCCAGAGCTCTCCCCCAGAGCTCTCCCCCAGAGCTCCCCCAGAGCTCTCCCCCAGAGCTCTCCCCCAGAGCCCCCAGAGCTCTCCCCCAGAGCTCTCCCCCAGAGCTCTCCCCCAGAGCTCTCCCCCAGAGCTCTCCCCCAGAGCTCCCCAGAGCTCCAGAGCTTTCCCCCAGAGCTCTCCCCAGAGCTCCCCCGAGCTCTCCCCCAGACCCCCAGAGCTCCCAGAGCTCTCCCCCAGAGCTCCCCCAGAGCTCTCCCCCAGAGCTCTCCCCCAGAGCTCTCTCCCCAGAGCTCCCCCAGAGCTCCCCAGAGCTCCCCCCCAGAGCTCCCCCAGAGCTCTCCCCAGACCCCCCAGAGCTCCCCCCCAGAGCTCTCCCCAGAGCTCTCCCCCAGAGCTCTCCCCCAGAGCTCTCCCCCAGAGCTCCCCCCCAGAGCTCTCCCCCAGAGCTCTCCCCCAGAGCTCTCCCCCAGAGCTCCCCCCCCAGAGCTCTCCCCCAGAGCTCTCTCCCAGAGCTCTCCCCAGAGCTCTCCCCCAGAGCTCTCCCCCAGAGCTCTCCCCCAGAGCTCTCCCCCAGAGCTCTCCCCAGAGCTCTCCCCCAGAGCTCTCCCCCAGAGCTCTCTCCCAGAGCTCTCCCCCAGAGCTCTCCCCCAGAGCTCTCCCCCAGAGCTCTCCCCCAGAGCTCCCCCCCAGAGCTCTCCCCAGAGCATCCTCGGGAAACCCAGGGGGCCACGGGCAGCCTCCACGCGGCGGCCCCTGGGGAAGGCTACGCGGGCGACTCTGCACCCGCAAGGGTCGGGGTCGCGCGCGTAACTTTCGCGAAGGACGACTCTCGAATCGCGCTAATGCTGACATATCTGTTTCTGGGACGCACATCACTCACTCAGGCTGACGCCAGCACTCCTTCCCCCCTTGATAGGGGGGAGCGTGGGGGGTAGATCCCTAAACCCTAAAAGCAATGACTCTGGGTGGATGGGGTGGGACAGAACGCATCCATCCATCCCCCCCTACCTCCTGAGGAGGGGGGGATAGGATGGTTCTGCGCAGAAACCCTAAACCCTAAACCATAAACCCTAAACCCTAAACCCTAAACCCCGGGGCTGCCCTTCCGCCTGGCCGCCCACGGGCGCTCCCCGCGGCCCAGCTGCGCGAGCATCCCCGCGCTCGGGTCCCCTCTCTGCGGCCGCCCTCCCTTCCTCTTTCCTCTCCTCCTGCGTGCGGGCCAGCTCGCGACTCCGTAGCCCGGTGTTGCTGCTCGCGCGAGCGGATGGCCACTGCCGCATCGTGAGGTACAAAATGTGCGGCGCGGAACCGAGAGCCACATTTTGAAAACCACCCGCCCTCCATCTGTGAAGCTGTTGCTAGGTCTTCAGCTTCAAGGGTCATAAATGCCGAGGAAGTAACAAGCGAAACGCCCGGTCCGCCCTTCCGACTGGCCATCGGGGTGCGACTAAGAGTTATTTACAAGGAAAATGGATGGAGGAAGAGGTGCGACAGAGGAGGATCATGATGATGAGGAGGAGGAAGATGAGGAAGAGGAGGAGAAGAGAAGGATGAAGCTAGGAAGTCCTTGGGTCTGAATGGGCTCGCCATGCCCCATCGCCTTCCTCCCACTTCCCGTTTCCTCCGCCTCCCCCTCCCCTTTTCGCCTCCTCCCCAGCTCCCTCTTTTCCTCTTTTCAAACATTGGATTACAGCTTCTGCGTGAGCTTTTTGGCCTAACCATGCTGCGTAGCCATCGATGTGCGACAAAACTGTTTTTGATTTGTTGTTTGGGGGGGGCTTTGTTTGGAGGGAAGACGTCCCAGCGACCAAGCACCAAGGAACTCCGAGAAGAAAGCGCTGATCCTTTGAGCTTGTTTTCACAAGCACGAAACGTGAGGCCCACGAGAACGAGAATGGGCAGCGTGCTTGTCGAAATCGCCCTGTGAGGAGGGGGGACGACGAGGGGGATAGAGGAATGAAACAGCCAAGTGGCGACAACGACGAACATGCCACCAATACGTGTCGGGCCAATAGCTGCAAAGCAGTTGTGCTATAACCCCCCTGCCACGGACAGCCCAAACGGCCCAAACTACCACGCTACAAAGCTGCGACACCGGCGCACTGATGGCTGAGTTGACGTTGCAGGACAGGGTCCTCTAGTGTGTCTTTAGGTCCGTGCGCTGGTGGATACAGCGCCCTGGAGGACCGACACGGCATGCCTTCTGAAGCCAGGCCTAGCATCTACCAAGAACGCCAGCCTAGGCCTACTGGTACGTCTACAGACCCACCTTGTCTAGGACATGGGGAGCAGGCTGAGCAGGGCGGCGCTGGTCTACGCCACGCTAACGGGTTTTCAACGCGAACAATGTAGCAGAGAGCATCCGAGTGTCTTCCGCTGCTGGTTTACGGCACGCTGGGGACGGACAATTACAAAATGTTCTACACTGAAACACAGAGCATCCGAGCCTATTCCGCGCTGCTGGTGCACGGCATGCTGGTGATCGGCAGCTATAGGCCGTTCTGCACACAGTGCAGATATATTTCACCGCGACTGTGTGTCAAGGTGACCTACCCCATATCACACGCGAAAGGCGCTGCGCCTGTGTGCCCTAAGTCAGAACTGCCACCACCAACAGCACTGCACCAGTACCAATACCACTGCCGCCGCCATTGCTACGACTGCAAATCCAGACCCGAATCAACCCGTCGGCATCCCCACACCCAGGAATCTGCTGCAAGTGCCAACGGGCCCGCTACCAGCGCTCCCGCCAAAGAGAAGAGGGGGGAGTAGCACGGACGGAGGAGGATGGACAGCGCACCTTGGACACGTTCTGCAGCACGAGGGATGAAGTGGCCTGGACGGGACGGGGCATCCTTTCACTCTTCCCTCTCCTCCTCCTCTGATCTCCTGTCCCTCCTCCTTCTCCTCCTCCCCTCCTCCTCCGAGAGTAGATAGATCCTAACCGTGAGGAGCTTTGCGCTTAACCGTGAGTGATTCAGTGCACGCTGTGAGTGCACGCTGTGGTGAGCGCACGCTGTGAGTGCACGCTGTGAGCCCACGCAGTGGTGAGTACACGCTGTGAGTGCACGCTGTGGTGAGTGCACGCTGTGAGTGCACGCTGCAAGTGTACGCTGCGAGTGCACGCGGCGTCGAGGGCTCGCTGAGCTGACGAGCGCGCTCGCACAGCCTGCGCTCGCAGCGTGCGCTCGCAGCGTGCGCTCACAGCGTTGGCTCACAGCGTGGGCTCACAGCGTGGGCTCACAGCGTGGGCTCACAGCGTGGGCCCACAGCGTGGGCTCACAGCGTGGGCTCGCAGCGTGCGCTCACAACGTGGGCTCACAGCGTGGGCTCACCACGGCGGGCACGCACAGCAGCGTGGGCCAATCACGCTGTGGATGCACGCTGTGAGTGCGCGCTGTGAGCGCACGCTGCGCGCCACCCGGTGAGAAAGACCGTGAGCGCACGCTGTGAGTGCACGCTGTGGGCCCGACGGAATCTCGAATTGCTTACGCGCTGGATTTCTCCGCGCGGTCCGAGAGTGATTTCCTCTGTGGTGTGTGTGTGTGGGTGTGTGCGTGCGTGCGTTTGTGTGTGGTGGTGGTGGTGGGAGTGGTGGTGGCGGTGATTGTGGTGGTGGTGGTGGCGTTGGTGGTGGCGGTATCGTTGGCGGTGGTGGTGGTTGTGGTGGTGGGGTGGTGGTGTGTGTGTGTGTACGTGTGCGTGTGTGCGTGGTGGGTGTTGTGCGGTGTGCGGCGTGCGGTGTGCGGTGTGTGGTGTATGGTGTGTGGTGTATGGTGTGTGGTGTGTGGTGTGTGATGCGTGGTGGGTGCTGTGTGGTGCGTGGCGGGTGGTCTGTGGTGGGTGGTGTTGGGTGGTGTGTGTGTGTGTGGTGTGGGAGGTGTGCGGTGTGCGGTGTGCGGTGTGGTGTGTAGTCTGTGATGTGTGGTGTGTGGTGTGTGGCATGTGGTGTGTTATGTGTCGTGTTGCGTGTGGTGTATTGCGGGTGGTGTGTGACGTGTGGTGTGTTGCGTGTGGAGTGTTGCGTGTCGTGTGTGCGTGTGGTGTGTTGCGGGTGGTGTGTGGCATGTGGTGTGTTGCGTGTGATGTGTTGCATGAAATGTGTATGTATGTGGTGTGTGGTGTGCCGCGTGTGGTGTGTTGCGTGTGGTGTGTTGCGTGTCGTGTGTGGCGTGTGGTGTGTTGCTTGTGGTGTGTTGCGCGTGGTGTGTTGCGCGCGGTATGTTGCGTGTCGTGCGTGTGTGTGTTGCGTGTGGTGTGTTGCGTGTCGTGTGTGGCGTGTGGTGTGTTGCGTGTGGTGTGTTGCGCGTGGTGTGTTGCGTGTGCGGTGTGTTGCGTGTGGTGTGTTGCGTGAGCTCACAGCGTGGGCTCACAACGTGTGCTCACAGCGTGTGCTCACCGCGTGGGCTCACAGCGTGGGCTCACAGCGTGTGCTCACAGCGTGGGCCAACAGCGTGGGCTCACAGCGTGCACTCACAGCGTGGGCTCACAGCGTGCACTCACAGTGTGGGCTCACATCGTGGGCTCACAGCGTACACTCACTGCGTGGGCTCACAGCGTACACTCAACACAGCGTGCACCCACAGCGTGGGCTCACAACGTACACTCAACACAGCGTGCACTCACAACGTGCACGCACAGCGTGCACTCAATCACTCACAGTTAAGCGAAGAGCGACTCACGGTTAAGCGAGAAGCTACTCACTGTTTGGATTCCCCTTCCCTCCTCTTCCTCCTCTCTCTTGTCCCTCTCACGCGCCACTACTCCTTCTCCTCAACCCCTTCCCCTCTTCCTCCTCCTCCTCCTTCTCCTCCTCCTCTTCCAAATTCCTCCTCCCTGTCGCACCCCAAGACGCGTCGGTAGGCTAGGCGGGGCGTTTCGCCTGAGTTCCTCACCACGTACGATCCTGAAGCTCGAGAGTTGCAGCTGCTTTCAGGATGGAGGGGGGTCAATTTCAACGTGTGGCTGTCGCATCAGCGCCGAGCACATCCGTCCCACAGTTTGCAGCAGCACCGAAGATGGAGGGCGGGTCGCTTTCACACTGTGACTTTCGCTTCACGCCGCGCACATCCATCTAAAACTTGAAGCAGCTTCAATGATGGAGGGCGGGCCGTTTCAAACTGTGGCTCTCGCCTCAGCGACGCGCACAGTCGAACCAAATAATGTAACACTTGCAAGGAGGAAGGAGGCCTGTACCTTTTCAACGTGTGGTTCTCGCCGTAGCGCCGCGTCTTGCAGCAGTTTCAATAACTCGTGTGGCAGAATTTCCAATAATTGGGTTCTGGTGCGGTTTGGGACTGTCAAGACGCAACAATCACGTGAATTCGCGGCCTTGAAGTCCCGCGTACTGTGTTCTGGCACGATTCAGCTGTCAGGACGCAAGAATCACGTTGATTCGCGGCGTTGAGGTTTCAAGGATGGTGCTTTGCCAAGATGGATGACTCTCACACGTGTGTGATTCAATGTGGCACTTCCCGCAACGAAACTGAATTCGTGTAGGTGCCTCCGAAGAGGAAACTCGGAGGGAGGGTTTATTGCAACATCGTTGATGCGTCTTGGATTTACACAGGTCCTCCTCATCTTCCTCCTCCTCCTCCTCCTCCTCCTCCTCCTCCTCTCTGCTCCTCCTCCTCCTCCTCGTCTCTCCTGCCCGTCCTTTTCTTCCTCCAACTCCTCCTCCTCCTCCTCCTCAGCCATTTTCCACCAGTGGCATGTGTGCGAGGGGGATGTGGGCATGAGGACTGAAGCATCGACCCTCACTGCTAATTTCTCTCACGCGAACTCCGAATGGCGACATAACACTTCACCCAATCATGCCGGCATGGTCGTCAGTCTCTTACACTGGATTAACCCTCTCTTGACATGTGCGATTCGCACTGATCCAGCAAGAGTTCCAGCATTCCTCTCTTGTCGGGTTGCAAAATACTGAAATCAATTAATGCGCTGACGAGACATCGGTTACGGTGCAAATTGTGGGTTCACATGTGGTCTACCAATTCTTCTGAAAACCAAAACGTAGTTTTTCAAGCAGTCGTCTGGCGGTGCTGTTGACGTTCGTTCCAAGATGTTCCAGAAGAAAAGCAATCGTCACATTGAGACCCCTCCCACCACACTCTCTCGAAAAGCTGGTGCAGTACACACTGTACGTGGATATGCTGCTTTCTGAATTGTAGCTGCGTGTTTCGAACCGTGCCCTTCGACGAATCGAGCACACCAGCGCTATGTGAAACTGGCCAACTGGTTTCACAACCTCTTGCAGTCTCTTCAACATCGGGTCCTTCCAGTCCTTCTGACAGATGCGAATGCCCACATGTGCGCACGACATTCGGATGACAGTGCGGTCGGGGCTTTTGCCATGCGTAATGATAGCCACAATGGGGAACTGTTACATGATTTGTTCATGGATCTACAGATGGCAGCGATCAATAACGCCACGACGTTGGATGCACATTCCACTCACCATGGACATCCGCCATCATCGACTGCGCTCGCCCCCCTGACGCAATGCGCCCTCAAACTGCACGTTGTTGTATCCTCAACTCATCCGGGCGGCGACTCCAGGCCATTGCTGTTCGGGGAGAGCGTGACCACTACCCAATACATGTGGTATGTGAATACGCTCTCACATAACATGCCCCCGATTCAATCAGCAAGAACTTCGTTTAAAATCGATGCAAGCTCGCTTCAGGCGTGCTGCGCGCCACTCATCCAGCTGATGTATTGTCTGCTTTGGAATCGAAATGCGCCGACGATGCTGGTTGGAATCCTTCGGCCACGCCCGAGAGCTACTTTGCAAATCTCAATCGAGCGAAAGAAGGGCCACCCGCGACGAAGCTGCGTGCACCACGGTGGCGACGCCGACCAGGCGGAGCAAGCCAAAGGAGTATCGGAGTGGGTGGCCGGGTTTGTCGGGAAGGAGGGGGATCGTCGAGGGGGGGTCACCGTCTGGTGGTCGTCGAGGTGGCAGGGGTCGTCGGGGTCGTGGCGGAGGGGTGGTCGTCCAGGGTGGCCCAGGGCGAGCTGCCGTGTTGTGGCTTGGCCGGCTGGTGACATCAAGCGGAGCACCCCGCTCGTCTTGCCGACACGCTTGGTGGTGTGACGAGGGAGGACTTCTTTCAACAAGACGAAACCGAGAAGCAGAGGCGCAAGTGGGACGGAGGCGGAAGATGAGGACGAGGAGGAGGAGGAGGAGGAATAGGAGGACGAGATACGAGGAGAGTGGGAAAAAGAGGACGAGGACGGAATACGAGAAGGAGAGAAGGGGGAGCAGGAGCGAGGAGAAAGGTGCACGGCAGTTGGAGGTGGATGCAGGCAATGACGGCGATGTGATGCTGCTGCTGCTGCTGCTGATGATGCTGCTGATGCTGATGATGGTGGAACATATGATGGTGCTCTTCATATTGTTATTGATGATGCTGCTGCGGATGACGATGACGATGACGATGTCGATTCTGAAGATGATGAGGATGACGACGATGATGATAATGCTAAGGATGATGCTGGTGATGATGCTGATGATGATGCTTGTGATGATGATGATGAAGATGCTGATGATGCTGATGATGATGATAATGATGATAATGATGCCGGTGATGATGCTGATCGTGATGATGGTGCTGATGGTGAGGATGCTAATGCTGATGCTGATGCTGATGACGATGATGGTGGTGATGAGCATTGTGATGGCGATGGCGATGCGGATGTTGCTGCTGCTGCTGCTGATGTCGTTGTTGTTGATGATGATAATGATGATGCTGCTGATGATGTGGTGATCATGATGGTGTTGGTGATGATGATGACGATGATGATGATGATGATGATGACGATGATGATGAT